ATACTGATACAAAGCTCACCAGAATTTCCGTGTTATCATCTGTAAGGCTTCTGACCGCAGCCCGGCAAATATCTAAACTGGTCGATAATCGCCAATACCTCACCACGCCACCACCCTCACGAAGTGTGAGAATGTATGCACATGGTCAACTACATTTGCTGGTGAAAATCTGGAAATTCTGGGAAAATATCATTGGTTTCCGTATACTTCTACCCAAAATCGTCTGTGGATTTTCAAAATGTAGTGAGCTCAGTTGAGGAAACCATGTATATATATTCCCACACTGCCCTCACCATCCTCCAAAGGCGTTGTCCATTCAGCTCGCCTGCTGGCCTCCCCTCCCATCCTCGTTACTGCGCAACGACATATCGCTGGGCTCACACTTGAGGGGACTGATAGAGATGACAGTCGAGGCGAATGATTGGCATCAGTGTCAACCTACTTTCCTCTACTATGCAAATCTCATGATCCTTACCGGTAGTCATCGACTCTACCGGGCATGACACCTGAGGGACCACCAGCTGCTTATGCATATACTTCTATCAGGGCGGTGTCGATGGCAATCACTTCACTTTAATTATCGATACTGTTGGGTGACAGCGTACAGCACGTATGCCCTTGATCGGGGAATCGGTGAGCTCTTCTCACCTACGCTCCCCCCGTGCGTGACACTGTTGGAGATATGCACGCTTTCCTCAGCTGACCTCAGGAGCTTGCGAGTAGAATTCCGATAGAAACGTAAGAAAATCAACAAGAATTTCCCAAAATTTTCTCAGAATTTTCTCATCGTCACCAACACATGTGGTTGACCATGCACATATTTTCCAACACTGGTGCGTAGGCCCCCCCCACACAATTTCGCGTGGCATACGATCGACTAGCGACAACGCCGTAAATATACAGGTCAGCTCAGAAGGGAACACAGTGGAGTTTCACCCGTGATATGGAAAACACTAGTGAAAAAAATACTTCACAATTCACTTCACGGAAAACAATCGCTCGCGGAAACATATACGTCTTATAACTCACATAGAGTATTGCGACACTTCACGTTAAACGGGTGAACTCCCAATATTATACTGGCATAAAAAAGGAAAAATTTAACGTACAGATATACAGAGTCCTGAATACTGTTCCCACGACCAACCTCAAAATCCGTATCGCTCCGTCGGCCAAGTTGGGCGATTTTCCCCGTCACTGGTGACGGGCCACAGCCCCTCACTGCCACTGCCGCATACTTCCCGAACCCCGCACCTACACAGTAGTTGTTATCCCTATCCCAGAAAAGCCATTCCACACGAGGTTCTCAGAATAGCAAGAAAACCTCGAAAATTCATATCCATGCAAAAAGCATCTCACCCAAGCCTCCATTTTTGAGGCTCAATTTCATCCTGCCAGCCGCCACACCAGCGCTGCAAGTTACTCTTCTTAACTCCAATCCCGCCTTATGAAGAGCATGCCTTATTCGGCGATAGTTGCGATGAACCTGCAATAGGTCCCCGGTTCGATCCCCGGGTCCTCCATTTTCTTACTATGCCAGGTATCTCCTCCGCGGGCGAGTAAAATCCTCCCGACTCGCTGCCAACCTGAGAGCCAGCAGCAGCATTAAATACTCCCACCCCTCAGTGCAGTCCCACCTCAGGAGACATGCTGATGATCCCTCTAGCGCCATAGAACCAGTCATCGCTCTCCCCCGTCGCGGTATACCTAGTAGGCAAACTCCACTAATGATCAAGTCTGGCAGCCATCCCACCGTAAGAGCTTATGAGCTGCACCGTGGCGCTTAAAGCCAAAGACCTCCGCCAGCTCCTCAAACACTGCCTCATCGTCTGCTGGTAGAGGGGCCTCACCCTAACACGATGTAACCATGGAGTGGTACGGGCATTCCTCCTCGAGAATCTTCCCTACCGTAATGGCATAGTTGTAAGGGTAGGTAAGCATCGTCCCATAGGAGTGGAAATTGAGGGCGATTTTGAATTCCCTTTCTTCCACCATCCTTTTCAACGCCTGGGTCTCCGGCTCACTAAATGGCTTCTCTCCGGCATACCTACAGCCAGTGTGCACAGTGAAATGAAATGAAAATTCTGAGGAAATTTCGGCAAATTCTTTTCGGTTTCGGTACATTCCTTCCCCCAGTCATGTATGAACTTCTATAAGTAGCTCTGGAAACTCCTGAGCTCAGCTGAGGAGAGCGAAGATATATTCCAAGACTGTGCACTGAGCGACAAAGTGGCCACCTGCCATGCCTACTCCTCACTGCACTTAGCGTACTGTCCAGTCCATTTGTAATCAAAGTTGCGATTCAGATCAACACCACTACTCACCTGAATAACAACAATACTCAGACACGCTCACTTTCGATGAAAATTTAAAGTCGCACGCCGCAACCACTGATCCTCACCGGGTCCTGAGGGCATGTTTCACGGCGATTCTTACGAGCGTCCCTCATCTTAGGATCTTCAACGAACTTGTATCTACCACGGCACCATGCGACCCTATCACGCCAGTGTTCGGTCAGTACTCAGCTGAGCTCGGGAGTTTCCCCACTAATTATAGGAATTTATATGCGACTTAAAGTAGAAATGTACAGAAACCAACAATAATTTCCCCAAATTTCCTCAAGATTTCCATATTGTCGCCGACACATGTAGTTGACCATGTCCATACTCTCCCACACTGTACCACGCACATCACGACTTCCATGGGCGGACCATCAATTCCCACCCGCATGCTGTAGCCTGGGAGTGCCCACGACAAGACTTACTGTTTTCGAGACAGGGTCGATACCAGAAACCGTAAAATCGTGAGGAGAGGACGGAAACGACACTTTCTAATATACGCTGTGGGAAATTGGAAACGCTGACTTTATACGATTCTGGTTCTCAAAAAATATACTAAGATTAGTACTTTAACTGGCCAGTATATCACCCATCTGGATTGACTATGGCACCACCCATATCTCCCTAGTGTCAGTAAATATACCGTCCTTGGGTCGCTGCCTCTCTGGTAGTCCTCACATAGCTTCCCTATCGTATAAAGAACTAACGGGCCAATCCCCTGATAACAGAGAACACCACTATCGAGCAAATCATTTTCGACCAAAATCAATATCAACATTACTCCCAGATTCTCTACGTTCCAACAACGCATAGTTCTCGAGACGATCCTGATCACACAGTTTCCATGAGAAACCCTCACGAACTGAGCAGTTCCCATGCAGGGAACAATACTACTATAGCTTACCCAAGCAGTACTCTACCGAGCTGATTCTCGAACACTCTCACTCTACTATACTCTCGATTCACCATTACTGGATCAAACAGCTTCTCTTCGAAAGCCCATCACAACCTAGGCCTACCATTCTACCACTACGTAGAGCGGATTGTCAAACCCCCGACAATAGTTTTCCCAATATGACTTAGCGCAGTCCCACCCATACTACCAGGCTCCCTGCTATGCATCAAACTAGTCACCATCAGCCTAGGCTTCTCTACAACATTAGTATCCTTCTTAGTGAGCACATAAGCAAAGATCTTTCTATGTTCCAAAGATTCACCTAAGATCCACTACCACCCTCCTCCAACGACAAGGAGTATTACCAATCTCTTCTTTCCTTATCAATTCCGAACATCCCGTCATAAACTTATCGAGCAGTTCCTCCGCTTCAGCAGTGTTGGGATAGTTATTGATTGACCCTATCACAATACTCATATCATCCCTAGTATCCTCTTTCCATACCACTCCACAGCCTATTCACCCATTCTGCATCATCATTCACCTCCTCGTCACCCAGCGTTGACGGTAGCAGCATGGCCAGTAGCAGCACCGACAGGCCCAGCATTCTACCACTACACTCTATACTGTATACCTCCTATGGTATCGCTACGTGCAACTGTTGACTGATACAACTCAACACTTAGGCGTATAACAAAGCAATGCTCCGAGGCTTTATCCCGCTAAGGAGCCACGGAGTGTTCAACCATAGTGATGATGATATTCAAATATACTACTATTACTACTACGGGCTCGTCATCGTCTACATCGGATCCACCTTCATCATACCAACCGACGTCTCTGGTATCTTCGTAGGAGGGCCTTCAAGGCCACCCTTATCATAAGGGCCATATACGATACCCTTCATGTTGCTGAATAGGATGACCATAATAACACAACCACTACATTGCATGCTACTCAAAGGCGATCATAGCCTCTCTCGCCTTATACGCCTCGGTCTTCACCAAAAAGGTAGGCAACATCTCCCAACGATACATAACGGGAGTAGCCTGACAGAAAATCAATGCAATACCCTAAATATAAAACTCTACTCTACTCTATAAACTCGTGAAGGAAACTATCAGAGACGAAACTCTACTCTAGAAACTCGTGGAGGAAACTATCAGAGACGAAACTCTACTCTAGAAACTCGTGAAGGAAACTATCAGAGACGAAATTCTACTCTATAAACTCGTGGAGGAAACTTTCCAAGACGAAACTCTACTCTAGAAACTCGTGGAGGAAACTTTCCAAGACGAAACTCTACTCTAGAAACTCGTGGAGGAAACTATCAGAGACGAAATTCTACTCTATAAACTCGTGAAGGAAACTTTCCAAGACGAAACTCTACTCTAGAAACTCGTGGAGGAAACTATCAGAGACGAAATTCTACTCTATAAACTCGTGAAGGAAACTTTCCAAGACGAAACTCTACTCTAGAAACTCGTGAAGGAAACTATCAGAGACGAAACTCTACTCTAGAAACTCGTGAAGGAAACTATCAGAGACGAAATTCTACTCTATAAACTCGTGGAGGAAACTTTCCAAGACGAAACTCTACTCTAGAAACTCGTGATAGAAACTATCGGAGACGAAATTCCACTAACTGTCTAATATGAACTGTAAACAAACTGACAAAAAAAGGTAAAAAATCAATCCCAGAATGTGCGCTTATGGAACTCGGCACTAAAGGTAGGCAAGGTACCTTATAGAGGAAGACGGCACTGACACCGCCATAGATGAACATCCTCGCCGTGCGGAGATTGATGAACTGCTCGATACTGCCGATGAAACCCATGTGAGGCAAATTATGACAAATAAGTCGCGCTGACAAACACAATAGATATTTGAGGAGATGCAAGATAGCGCAAGATTGCAAGATTAACCCTCAGCACTGTTTTAGGCGTGTCCAAACACTGTCACTAAACTTTGTGTCCTAAATCACTAAATTTCAGCGCGCGCCCTTATAGTCGATATATAGCGCGACTTCGTTTCAACGGCGTTAGAGACCGAAGGGAAACAAGTGAACCAAAAACCGAAGGGAAACAGATGAGCCAGAAACCCGAAGAGAAACAGATGAACCAAAAACCCGAAGGGAAGCAAGTTAACGAAGAGGATTCAGCGGGCCAGGCGGATCTGTCTCAAGTCCATGTCTCATTGGGCAAACTCGACACTCGTTTTGTGAGCTACATTTAGGTTTACCTTCCAAGTTTTTTTGAGCTGCAAAACCCAACACTATATCATTCACCATGCAGATCAATATACTTCGAACAGTATGACTCATCGAAGATCACTTATTAATGATGCTGATGGGCTTCTCGAGCTTCGGTCGACCACAGGAGTGGTGGAATGTTTGATGTACTTGCACTTGATTGCCCAACTTGGGGACTTGTCAGCGAAACTTTTGACCTGAATTATTGAGTGGGAAGTGAATTCATCGACGCATTACGAGTTGAGTTGTTGGTTTTGCGGGTTGACAGAGAAGTAATCGGTTCTAAACCCCTGATTATTAGATGATAAAAGTTTCTGGGCATCCCACGGCATGCATTTCTCCGGCGAAAGAAGCCCGGGTAGTAAAAGAAGACTGAGTACCGATGCCAGAC